CCCACCCACCCATCCATCCATCCATCCATCCATCCATCCATCCATCCATCCATCTATCCACCCATCCATCCGTGGGTGCATTTGTCCAGTGAATTTCCTGCCACACCACGTGCTAGGCCAGGGGCTGGGGGCCATGAAGGGAACTACATGGGATAGTTGTAGTGAAAATCCTTTAAAAACCAGAGCAAAACAATTAAAAAATTAAAAAAAAAAAACAACCAACACAAAAACCCAGAGCTCCTGACCATTGTGTTTTACCTATTAGTATTCTGGGCACGTGTCAAACCATAGCATTTCACCCTGTAGGACACCCTGTTTATTAGCTCTCTGTGGTCCATCAGGGAGGGAGAGGTAAGTCTTATTAGTCCTACTTTGTACTTAAAGAATGATGCCCAGTGCAGTATTTTTTAAAAGATTTTATTTATGAGAGAGAGAGCGAGCAAGTGAGCATGAGCAGAGGGAGGGGTAGAGGCAGAGGCAGAGGCAGAGGGAGAGGGAGAAGCAGGCTCCCCTCAGAGCAGGGAGTCTGATGTGGAGCTCGATCCCAGGAGCCCGGGATCATGACCTGAGCCAAAGGCAGACGCTTAACGACTGAGCCACCCAGGCGCCCCCCAGTGCTGCATGTTGATCTGGTCTGGGAGTGATGGGCTACTTCTCTCAGAGACTGCTCAGCTCACATGGTCCAAGTTCACCATCTTCCAGGGACAGATTACTAATGTGTCCTCTGGACCTTGCCAAAAATATAGCTCTTTCCACACAAGAACCTGAAAACATAGGACACTGTGCAAAAGTAAGTGCTGAGCAGCCCTGGGGGGGGGCGCGGGGGGGGATCTGCAGATGAGACTAGGAGTTGGACCTGCAGCACCACGTGGCTGGGAGAATGTGGTTGTGCTTATGACAACAGAATGCTTACTTGGGTGGCCCTTCACTTCCACTGCATTGAAATGGGAGCAAGGTGGTTTGTTACAAAATCCAGGTCAGCCTGATCCAGGCAGGGAGCACCTGGCAAGCAAGCACCCTGAGCCCAGAATGTGGAGATCACCCCTGTGCCTCCTTCCTCGTGGTCAGAGATGAATGGGTTGCTGAATGTGGGTATAGGTTTACAAAGAGACCTTGGACAAGCGGCCTCTTTGTTCTGCCCATGTGTAAGGCAGCGCTATCGGAGACCCGGCCTTTCGTCTTAGCATGGACTCTTCCCTCACTCCACTGCTGGGGCCCAGAAGTCTTGATGGGAGGTAGACCTGGCTCTGGGCGAGGAGAGACAGGACCGACGCATTCATGCTTTTCATCTTGTGTTTCTGCAGCTCATCCGATAACGTACCAAGCTCCCCCATGCCTTCTGTATTGTTGTGAAGAGTGTAAAAGTGACATCTGTGTTTTTCTCAAACTCAACATCATTATTTTAAATAAAGTAATTCTGGTTCATTGTATACACTTGGGAAATACAGAGAAAAAAAGGAAAACGAAGATCACATATCCCCTACCATTCACATTTTAGTTACGTTCTACCTACATTGGTTGGTTATCTGTCTACTTATTTATTTATTCCCTTTGGGGGCCCAAGGGTACTTGTGTGCTAAATCTTTGCAAAATCGCAATTCAACTATAGATACAGATTTAGTTCTACCTCTCTCTATGTTGCTAAGTAATTGTCACAAACGTGCCTTTCCCGCTACAAACCATTTTACCATGGCTGGCTTTCTCTGCGGTTGGATACTTAGATTGCTTTTTGGTTTTCACAGTTGTAAATTACATGGTACAGAGTATTCTTGTTTGTTCATGATGACCCGTATCTCAGGCTGTTTCACAGTATGCTTTTTTGGCTCTGGAAGGATCAGATCACTGTGAAGCTGGTTTGTGCATATGAAGGCTGGGTTTGCTGTGTGGAAATTGTAGCAGAGATGACACCTGTCATCTCTCTAGGGTCTAGTGCTCAACATGGAAATAATAGTTATCAAATTTAAGAAGTGCCTTTCTATTTACATACATTTGGATCCTGAAAATGCGTGCTATTCATATCAGCCTTTAGCGTTGGTCAGAGGGGTTTTCATCAGCAAAGCCTATGTCACCCTCACCTAGCAGCTTGGAGTTGCCCAGACACTCTGATTTGGGCTCTAATTGATAACAACGATCAGATCTGATAGGGAATCAGTTTATCTAAAGAGTCAGCAGAGGATTGCCAATGACCCTTCCCTGGGTTGACGAAAGGACTTGTCTTGGCCGGGATGTGCGTGTCAGGTGATTTTCTTTTCTGATGCTGTTTTGTTTTTCTTTGAAATAATGCTTTGTCGTGATTATTAATGTTTATGGTTCCTTATTCGTGACCGTCAGAACAGTGGCCAGAGTGCCACCTCCCCGGGTCCCAGCTGTCAACAGTGGGGTTAGCCCTTTCAGAAAGCTTGCTGGGTCTCTGCCATTAACCTGAGGCACTTTCCGATCTCTCCCCAGTGGGCCTGGGCTTCCTTTCCCTCCGCTGACTTTGCATGGCTGGCCGCTCTCCTCTGATGGGGCAGGTTTTCTCTTCCCTGATGTTCAGTCCCATTGGCCTCCTCAGCTGCGATGTGGACAGATGTGAGCCCCCTTCTGCCCCTCAGCTCCCCCTGTAGGAAGTGAGCTCAGGATCCACCCCCCCCCACCCCCACCCCCCGTTGGTGGAGGTCCAGCTCTCCTGGCCCCTGGAGATTGACCGTTCTCTGTGGGAGGCTCAGCAGGAGGCCGCTTCACTGGTTTTAGAACTCAAAATGCCACGGCCTGCATGGATGTCTCTGTCGTTTTCTAGAAAAGAAGAAGCCAAGGAAGGGCAGGCCGTCCCAGGACTGGCGGGAGCGGAGGAACGCCATCCAGCTGACCAGCGAGCACACGGTGGAGACGCTGGTGGTGGCCGATGCTGACATGGTGCAGTACCACGGGGCAGAGGCCGCCCAGAGGTTCATCCTCACCGTCATGAACATGGTGAGTCTCCCGTCGGGGTCCTGGATGAGTGCTCTGTCCTTGTCTTTTCCCCAGGTTGGGGGATGGAGACACAGCCCTGTCCCACGGGAGAGGGCCCGGCCGCCGACCCTGCCCTCGTGTGTACTTTCAGCTCGGGGGGCTGCTCAGTGGTTGCCCCGCCTGCCATTCCTTACCAGCGGTTTGCCAAGACCGTGCCTAAGTGCCAGGCCCCGTCCCAGGGGGATTCCAAGTTGAGCGGGTCAGTCCCTATTCTGAGGAGTCGGTGGTCTAGTAGAAGGAATCAGGCTCACACTTGAACGTGAATCAGCTCTCGCCGTGCGCCGTGAGGGCTGGAGGAGAGTGGGGGGAGAGGTGGTCTGGTTGCGGGTACAGGGAAGGAGCCACGAAGCCGGTGTCTACCTCTGATTTGATGAATGGGGAATAGCGGGAAACCACGTGACTGGTGGGGGGGAGGGGCTGCACTCCTCAAAGTCTAGACACGGAAAGACTTTTGCATGCATCCCCACTCCACCCATCCACCCACTCTCCTGACGAGCATTTTTTGAAGACCCTTGGCATTGTGTTAAGGTGTTGGGGATACAGGTGCGAAACAGACCTGGTCCTTCCCTCAGAAGGCAGTGCTATCGGCAGACAGATAAAACGCCCGTGTTCTAGTAGAAATATGGGCAGGGACCGCTGGGGGCCAGGGGCAGGGCTGCCGAGTGATCATCCCACAGCGTGGAGTCTTCCGGCGAGAGCTGACCTTTGCGCTGAAGAAGAGTAAGAGTTTGCGAGGTGGGGGAGGGGTGGCCGGTGGGGCAGGGAGGCTCACGCGGGGAGGAGGAAGTACTGGCCCTGGTCTCTGAGAAATACGTGTTCCTCGTTTGCACAAACCCGAGTCCTCCCGGTGGCTGCTTAATGACGGGTTGCTGTGCCTCCGTCTGCCCAGAGGACACCCGGGAGGAGGGCTGGTGGGGCTGGCTCCACAGCAGCCTCTGTCCTCTGTAGTTCATTTCATCTCATTTATGTTTTTTAATTGTCCGGGGCACAGGTGCCAGGAATAAACACTCATTATGGCAGTGCAAGCAGTAATGAGGCAAAGCTTCCGCTTTGACATTTGTTTTCATAATTTTATCGTCGGGGCAGGGGCCGCTGTTGTATCACAGGCAGGGAGGGGGTGGGACGTGGCGATGTAGCCCCCAAGCCCCCCACGGCTGTAAGACGGAAGGACAGGGACCCAGTGGTCCCCATGCTTGGCTTTCATTCAGCACTCTTCACTCCCCTTCTGCTGCTTGGACGAAGAAGTTGGAGGCTCCAGATCCCATTGCCGAGGGCAGATCTGGGGCCAACCCCATTAAATTGGGATTTAGATGTTTCCTGATGAGGCCTACCCAGTAAGAGTGGGGCCACTGTGGTGAAGGGCATCTGGCATGTGTACGCTAATACCGAACCCTCCGGTCACCTCCGGTGGGGTTTCTTGGCCAGTCTGATGAGGCCAGAAAGCAAATGAGAGCAGAGTCTCCTGACCCACTTACACAGACTCACCGGGAGCTGGTTTCTGTGGCTCTCGTGGTGGGTCGCCATTCAGAAAACTTAAAGACAAGTTGTATGCAGACATGGTACCTTGTTTTGAACAAGACCACCCTCCACCACTACCATCCTCCAGGTCCTCAAACCCTGGTTTTGAAAATCCAAAGAATTCTGTTCTTCCTGTGGCTGTTTTAGCCTAGGGATTTCCGTTAGGAAGTGAGATCTTCTTTAAGCCAGGAGGATGGGAAAGGACTGTGGTGGGGATGAGGAGCCCTGTCATTAGACAGGTCTCCAGGTGCAGTGAGCAGGGAGGTGAGTCCAACCAGCTCACCTCTCTCCCGTCAGAGTGTTTACTGTGGGCCTGCAGGATTGAACTGGCTCTGTTTCCCTAGCTTCGGTGGATTTGGAAGGGAATCTGCTGGAGCAGCTGCTACCTTCCTTGCAACATGTTTCTCTCCAGGCTGCGGGAGGTAGCATCATTGGGTGCCAACATCCTCTGGGTAGATACCTGCCCATCCACGCTTGCCGCTCGGACCCTTGAGGCTAAATCTAGACAGGCTCCTGTCCCCAAGGCAGGCCTGGGCACTCATAGGGACTTGGTAACACGTTCAAAGCTGGGCGAATTGGGTGTCACGTGTTTGCTTACAATTTTCATAGCCTCTCATGGTTGTGATGTGTGTTTGAATTAGATCAGCACTGACCAGAGGCACATGTCTGAGAGGAAGGAAAGGAGTGCACGTCCGTGATGAGTAGCTGGGTTATTTCTCCTCCTCATACCTGGTGGATTTCATTATATTTCCATCTTACAGAGAAGGAAATAGAAGCTTGCAGGGAGTGCCATAGTCAAGGTGCAGAGCCAGTGAGCGAGGACACGGCAGGGCAGGCACTCAGAGCCAGGGCTGAGGGACTCCGGTCTCACCTGTTCAAGGTCACAGGCCTGTCTGGGGCCCATTGTTTCTCTCCATCTCCACCCTGGATTGCCCTCCGTTATCTCTGGCTTTGGAGACTGCCGGAGCTGCCTCGTTGGGCTCCTCACGTTCGTTTTCTTTCCTCTTGATTCCTTGCCAGAGAATGGCCAGCAAGAGCTTCATCCAACAGAATTAGGACTTTGTTACTTAGCAGCGCTAAGCCCTTCTGTGGCTTCCTGTGCACTTGATGGGGAGTGCTCCCTGTATTGCATGGCCCTCCCAGGCTGTGGAACTGGGACCACCTGCTTCTCCTGGACTTGATTCCCTTCCCCACATCAACACTGAACTCCTGCCATGTGGGCCCCTGTTTCTTAGGTGCCCCAAGCTCTTCTGTGACTCGTGGTCTCTCTTTGTCAGGAATGCTCTTCTCCCCACTCCTTATCAAGCTAGCTTTCTCTATCTTTGAGCACTCTGGGTAAATGTCCCCTCAGAGTGGCTCTCCTTGCTGACCCCTCTGAAAAGGCCAACCTGTTTTCTTTATCATAGCAGTCTGCTTTTGCACTTGGTCCTTATCTTGAGTTATAATTCCATATTTATTTGCTTTTTAAGAGCCATCTTGCTGCAGAGATTTTTTTATGCTATTGAATTTAGGCTGGTATAAATTCAATTTAGAGCATTGTAACTTTAAGATGTTAAATGTATTCCCCATAGTAACCACAAAGAAAATAGCTACAGAATATACACAAAAGAAAATGAGAAAGGAGGGGCACCTGGGTGGCTCAGTTGGTTAAGTGTCTGATTCTTGATTTTGGCTCAGGTCATGATCTCAAGGGTTGTGAGATTGAGCCCCACATCGGGCTCTGAGCTGGGTGTGGAGGAGCCTGCTTGAGATTCTCTTTCTCCCTGTCTTTCTGCCCCTCCCTCCACTCACTCACTCACTCTCTAAAAAGAAAAATAATAAAATAAAAAAAGAAAATGAGAAAGGAATTAAAAAGTTTCACTATAAAAAAATCAACTAAACACAAAAAAGTAATGCGGGAAATGAGGGACAAAAAATGCTATAAAGCATATTGAAAACAAATAATAAAATACAGAAGTAAGTCCCTCCTTATCAGTAATTATCTTAAATGCAAATGGATTGAATTCTCCAGTGAAAAGGTCAGCAGGATGAGGGCTCCTGGGTGGCTCAGTTGGTTAAGTATCTGCCTTCGGCCCAGGTCATGATCCCAGGATCCTGGGATCGAGTCCCACGTTGAGCTCCCTGCTCAGCGGGGAGCCTGCCTCTCCCTCTGTCTGCCTCTCCCTCTGCCTGCCTCTCTCCCTGCTTGTGCGCTCTCTCTCTGTCAAATAAATAAATAAAATCTTAAAAAAAAAAAAAAAAGCAGGGTGGATTAAAATATATATCCAACTATATGCTGTCTACAAGAGACTCACTTTAGAGCCAAAGACACAAATAAGTTGAAAACAAAAGGATGGAAAAAGATATCCCACGCAAATAGTAACCACAAGAAAGCAGAAGTGGCTATAGTAATATCACACAAACTAGACTTTAACCAAAAGAACAAAGAAGGATCCATATATTAAAAAAAAAAAATTTCAGTACAGCAAGAAAAACATAACGTTGTTAAATCTTTTTGCATCTAGTAACAGACCATCGAAATATGTGAAGCAGAAATTGGTAAAATTGAAGGGAGAAACACACAGTTATGTAATAATAGAGACTTCAAACCACCCCCCACCCCGCCACTGTCAATAGCGGATAGGACAACAAGACAGAAAATAAGTAAGGAAATAGAGGACTTGGACAAACATAGTAAACCAATTCGATCTAACAGATAGACAGAATCCTCCATAACAACAACAGTCCTTACTTACAAGTGCACATGGGACGTTCTCCAGGATATAACATATCTTAGGCTACAGATTAAGTCTCAACAGATTTAAAAGATATCACACAAAGTATCTTCTCTTGACCACAGTGGGATTAAGTTAGAAATGAGTAACAGAAGGAAAACTAGAAAATCCACGAATATGTGGAAATTAAACAACATACTCTAAACCCATGGGTCAAGGGAGAAATAACAGGGGAAATGAGAAAATACATACAGATGCATAATAATGAAAACGCAACACCTCAAAGCTTACGGAACACCACAAAAGTAGTACTCAGTGGGAAATGTATAGTTGTAAATGCTCACATTAAAAAAAAAAAAAAAAAGATTTCAAATCAGCAACCTTACTTTAAAACTTAGGGAACTAGGGGAAGAAGAACAAACTAAACTCAAAGCTAGCAGAAGGAAAGAAATAATAAAGATTAGAACAGAGATAAATAAAAGAAAAAACAGAGAGAATCAACAAAGCCAAGAGCTGATTCTTCAGAAGAATTAATAAAATCAACAAACCCATAGGTAGAGGGACTAACAAGAAGACTCAAATTACTAAAGTTAGAAACAAAAGTGGGCACACAACTACTAATTCTACAGAAGTAAAAGACATTATAAGAGTACTATAAACCATTGTACACCAACAGATTGGATAACCTTGATGACCTGGTTGGATTCCTAGAATCACAAAACTTAAGGC